GAACAATATAAACTGATGAACAAAAACAAATCCAGAGGCAGAGAAGTATTGATCAGACCATCAAACCTCAGAGGGAAGGTAGAAGAGGGTGAGGAAAGGGGGAGAGATCAACAAAAGGACTTGTATGCATGAATATGGACACAGCCTAAGCAATGGACACAGACGCCAGGGGTAAGGGCATGAGTGGGGATGTGGGGGAGTAATGGAGGGGATAGAGACACATACATAATACCTTAGTCAATAAAGAAAAAAATGTTGGTGGGAGATTTAAGCACAGTGCATGTTTCCCAAGTGCCTCTTTTTCCTTTTCAGCAATGATGACAGTGTCCCAGGTAGAAGACATTCCATTAGCCTGGGTACCAGGTTCTTTCTTTCTTTCTTTCTTTCTTTCTTTCTTTCTTTCTTTCTTTCTTTCTTTCTTTCTTTCTTTCTTTCTTTCTTTCTCTCTTTCCTTCTTTCTCTCTCTCTCTCTCTCTCTCTCTCTCTCTCTCTCTCTCTCTCTCTCTCTTTCTTTCTTTCTTTCTTTCTTTCTTTTTTCTTTTTCACCTAGTCTAAGATATTATGCTTGTTTAAACTATATCCTAAACCTAAATCTTGATGGGCCTCGGAAATACCACTGCAGATTTGACTAATATTTACTAGCTGTGACAAGTTGTGCCTCATTTTTTTTTTTATTCCATAAAGTGGGAAAAGTAATTTCCATGCCAGAAAATTATAATAAAGTTTGATTTATACAACATGTTCAATAGTACTGGGCACATAATAAGGTCTCCAAATATCAACTATTATTAATACTATTATTATAATATTTTTATTGTAAGAAGTGTATTTGTTTATAAATTTATTTTTATTTTCTTCTAGTTTATTTATAACTATAAGCATTGTAATAGTGTTCTTTTATAAGCTTATCTTTATTTCCAACTAGATTTTATATTCTTGGCTACAAGAGCCATGCTTTGCTCTTGTAACTGTTAAAAGATAAAGTGAAGCATATTACAAATTATAAAAGTTTATTTGAGCAAACAACTATTTGAAATGGGCCACATTCAATGTAGTAGATAGTTCCGAGGGAGCTGTATAAAATGATGACCCTCAGAACCTAAAGACTGCAGGAATAAGTTATTTCAAACAAAAAAAGGGAGTTGATTATTCCAGGTAAAGGCAAAGCTAGTTTCATTGTGCTTTGCTGTATTGTACTTCTCAGATATCATCTTTGTTTGCTTTTACAAATTGAGGGTTTGTGGCCACCCTGCAATGAGCAAATAAATGGGCACCATGTTCCCAGCACATCTTTCTCACTTCATGTCTCTGTGTTCCATTTTGGTAATTCTGGCAATATTTCAAAGTTTTTCATTATTTGTTATGGTCATCTGTGATCAGTGACCTTTGATGTTACTATTGTAATTATTTGGGGAACCATGAACTGCACCCATATGAGACAATGACCCTAGGTATACATGTTCTGACTGCTTCACTGATCACCTGTTCTCCCATCTCTCATACTTTCCTTGGACTTTCCTATTTCCTGAGACACAGCACCTCTGAAATTAGGCCAATTAGTAACCCTCAGTGGCTGCTCAGTATTCACATGAAAGGAAGAGTCACACATCTCCCACTTTAATCAAAAACTAGAAATGATGAGGTGAGAAGACCTGTGGAAACCAAGATATGTTAAAAGCTAGGCATCCTGCACCAAGTTGTGAATCCAAAAGAAAAGTTTTTGAAGGAAATTAAAAGTACTAGTCTGGTGAACACATGAATGATAAGAAAGCCAAACATTCTTATTGCTGATATGGAAAAAGTTTTAGTGGTCTGGATTGTCAATCCAGCAACAAAATTTCCTTTAACCAAAGCCTAATCAGGAGAAATACCATAATTCTCCAGTTATATGGAGGGTGAAAGAGGTGAGAAAACTGCAGAAGAAAATGTGATGTTAGCAGAGGTTGGTTTAAGAGGATTAAAGAAAGAGAAATAAAGAAGCCATTTCCAAACATAAAAGTACAAGGCAAACTTGATATAGAAGCTGGAGCGAGTTATCCAGAAATCTGGGTGAAATGATTAATGAAGGTGGCTACATCAAACATCAGAGTTTCAGTGTAGATGAATTGGTTTTCTATTGGAAAATGATACCATCTGGGACTTTCATAGCTAGATAGGAGAAGACAATGCCTAGCTTCCAAGTACAGGCTGACTTTCATGTTAGAGGCTAATGGAGCTTGTTATTTCAAATGGAAGCCAAAGCTTATTTGTCACACTGAAAATCCTAGGGCCCTTAAGAATTATTGTAAATCTACTTTCCCCATGTTCTACAAATGGAACAATGAAGACTAGATGACAGCAATACAGTATGATTTACTGAATATTTTAAGCCCACTGTTGAGATATACTACTCTGAAAAAAAAGTCTTATAAAATATTACTGCTCATTGACAATGCACCTGGTTATCCAAGAGCTCTGAAGAGGATGCACAACAAAATGTATGTCATTTTGATGCTTGCTAACACCACATCCATTTGGAGTAATTTCAATTTCAAGTCCTATTATTAAAGAAATACTTTTTGTGAGACTATAGATGCCATAGATGGTGATTTCTCTGATGGATCCGAGCAGAGTAAATTGAAATCCTTGTGGAAAGGATTCACCATTGTAGATGCTGTTAAAAACATTCCTGAGTCATGGGAAGAGGGAAAATATCAATATTAACAGGAGTTTGGTGGAAGTTGGTCCAATCTTCACAGATGATGTTAAGTGGTTTAAGACTTCAGCAGAGGAAGGAACTGAAGTGGTGGCAGGAATGGCAAGAGCACCAGGATTAGAAGTGAACCCTGCGAGGTGACTGGGTTGCTTCTGCAGTCTCATGATGAGGGTGAGGATACACTCCTGTTAATGGGTGAGGAGCTTCTTCTTATAGATGAGCAAAGAAAACTGTTTCCTGATTGAGATGGTCGAGATGCTGTGAGGATAATAAAATAACAAGATTTAGAATATTGCATCCACTTAGTTGAAACTGTGGCATGGTTTGAAAGAATTGATCCAATTTGGGGGTCAGGGGAAAGTTCTCATGAGTTAAATGCTATCAAACATCCATCACATTGTACTGAGAAATTGTTCATGAAAGGTAGAATCAATCAATGTGACAAACTTCATTGTTGTCTTATTTTAAGAAATTGCCATAGCCACCCCAACCTTCAGCAACCACCACCCTGATCAGTCAGCAATCATCAACATTGAGGCTAGACTCTTCACTGTCAAAAAGATTATGACTTGCTGAAGGCTCAAATGATAGTTAACATTTTTTTTTTTTTAGCAATGAAGTATTTTTTAAATATATTTTATTGATTTTCTACAGAGAGGAAGGGAGAGAGCTAGAGAGCTAGAAACATAGATGAGAGAGAAACATCGACCATCTGCCTCTTGCACACCCCTACTGGGGATGTGCCCGCAACCAAGGTACATGTCCTTGACCGGAATCGAACCTGGGACCCTTCTGTCCGCAGACCGACTCTCTACCACTGAGCCAAACCAGTTTTTGCAGCAATGAAGTATTTTTAATTATGTATGTGCATTGCTATTTTTTAGACATAATTATATTGCACACTTAACAGATTACAGTATAATGTAACTATAGCTTATACATGCACAGGGAAACCAGAAAATGTGTGTGACTCACTTTATTGCTGTGGTCTGAAATAAGCCCACAGTGTCTCTCAGGTATGCCTATACTTTCCCTCAGGGGATGGCATCTGCCTATCAGATAGATTACATAACTAGTGCTGTTTGGCTATTTCTGATTGATTGGCTTAAGATTCCATTACTGGGAGAGCTAAAACTGTAATTAAGTGTCAGTTTGGTGACATGAGGCTTAGCATAAGTCACTCCATTTGGGGCCTGTTGTCATGCTTTTAACAGTGCACATTGTACTACTCAGCATAACAACTTGTGCACATATAGTAGTTGCAAAATAGTCCATTTAAACTAATGATTAGAAGTACAAGTTACAGAGAACATGATTTGAATCCTTATCTGCTGCAATGGCCTATGTGATCTGGAAGAATGATTGACACTCTCCAAACCCTTGCTTACTCAATAGTGGTTTAAAGTTAATATCTCTCTTCATGTTTGATGAGCATTAATTAAAATAATGTGTGTACAGCCTTCAGCACAGAACCTGGCATACCAGTAATGGTAGTTTTTGTTAGTAGATGCTCAGTACAGATGGACACAATGAATAAAGGGATTAATCTAAACATTTTATAATAATTCTCTACTTTTTCCTAATATCTGCAGCATGTGAAACCTAAAACACAGTCTACCTTTCCATTAAACTTTGCTTATGTTTTTTTCTCTAGATGTTTTCTATCTATAAAAATTGTCTCTCTGAAATGTTTCTGGATTAACACGTTGTTCTTTCTCTCTTTTGTGGAACTTTTTCATGTACTTATACTTGAGCACAGAGGTAGTGCAAGGTAGGTGTTTAATAAATATTCAAAACTTGGCCTTTGAAAACACCAGGTATTTTGCCAAAGTTAGATTACATTTACTAGTAGAAATCTCAGATAGTGCATTAATAGACTCATCAGGGCCAAATTTTGAAAACTTCTAACCCTTAATTCCTGTAGGTAATAAATTATTTTCAAGAATTATTACCAAAAAATGTAGAAATTAATATTTATAGTGATAACTTAATATAATTCATTACTTCACTAATATTCACAATAAAGAACTCATACTGGAAAACAATCTTTTAAGTAGATTAAGCTGGTGATTTATTTTTCTCATTTACATTAAATTAGTAGTCTGAGTGTTCATATATAAACACATATCTAACCTTAGGAGTGTATTTATTTCTCTGTTTGCTTGCTTGTTTGTTTTGCTACAATATGTCAAATTATCTTCACAGGAAGGGAGCCTTGATTTCTTGGTGACATTTATCATGATGAACAAACTTTTGTGTTTTGCTTATAAATAGGCTCATGTTTTGTTTTGTTTTTTCTATGTAGGCATCACTTGTGAAGTAAATATAGATGAATGTCTATCAAAACCCTGTCTCCATGATGGAGCTTGTATTGATGGCATCAATCATTATACCTGTGACTGCAAGAGTGGCTTTTCCAGAACACACTGTGAAACAAATGCAAATGATTGCTTCTCAAATCCTTGTCTGCAGGGAAGGTAGCTACTTTTGTTTTTCTATTATTAAATCTCAGAGAGTATATTTAACTCACAATACTTAAGACTTAATGTCAAGGGAAAGTTGATAAAGTTAATTTTAATTATGCTCCTTCATAAAACTAGAGCTAAGTACAGTTAAGATGACAGATGCTGCCTGTTCTACTTAATGCAATGCACTGATATATTTTCTCTGCCCTTCTTTTATTTCTACACATTAGCATAAATTTCAATAAATGCAGATTAATTGGGCTTTAATATACTTAAAGGTAACTGCTCGCAGTAATAGAAGCAGCAGGTAGGATGAGAAGACATTCTGTTATTTGCTCTATGGAGGGATAATACCACACACTCAGTATTTAATATGTTCCTAAGTAAACTGGTTCTTCCATCCCTATGTGCATGTAAGCTATTTTGTGGATTTCTTTATGGAATTGTATAATAATGCTTCTGCTCATTGATAGCAATTTAGTTTATGCAAATCCAGAATAGGGGCATTTCTAGGAGATGCAAGTGACAAAGAAGAATGTCTTTCAGAAGCACCAAGTTGCCTTTGTAGCACTATTATTACTTGTTTTTCCCTAGTCCTGCCACTGACTTTGTACAAAGGGAAGGCAGGAAGAAGATGGATAGCTCATTGCAATAGAGTTCAGCCATAGCTGCCTCCAGTTTCCTGTATTAGCCCTACATGTACCATAGATCTTCTAGAACTCTTCTTTCTTTTCATTGCCATGGGGAAGATGGCAAAAATGAACATTGATTTGTTCTTTCAACCCAGTCACCTTGGGATAAGAAACCGGAATAGACTGCCTTCTGTTCATGGGAGTGTGTGTGTGTATTTGTGTGTGTGTGTGTGTGTGTGTGTGTGTGTGTGTGTGTGTTTGGGTTTCGATTTTAAACTGAACTGGAAAAGAGCAATTCTAAATATTTAAACTCTGTTGAATTTATGCTTTAATGTCTTATTTACTTAAAAATGCAATTGTGTTTCAGATGCACAGATGTCACTAATGAATATCAATGCTCCTGCAATACAGAATGGACTAGCCCAAGATCTGAGATCAATATTAATGTAAGTTGAATAATTTCAATTAAATCTAAAGTAATTCAAAAGAACAATCAAACCACTTGCTGTAGATTTCAGAGTTATTTCTTCAATTATTAATGATTTAACTACACAGTTCCTCACCATTTCTTTATGGAATTTTTCAGCTGCTTCAAACAAACATCACAGCCTCTTTCTGCCTTTTCCCCTCTGTCTCTTGCTATCTTAAACTTCTGAAATCTGGAGCCTTTATTAAACTAAATTCTGGATATGGTCATTGAACAATGTACCTTAGAAGGTTTATAATTTGTAACATGCCTACCTCTCTCTACTCTTAGAATACACAGGTGTCTGTGGATGTGTAGGGATGAGAGAAGATTCAATGACCCAGATAACACACACACACACACAAAATAAATACATACATACATACATACATACATACATACATACATACTAGATAGATATGCCCAGATGTGTGTGCATGTAGCAATCCTCAACATCTGTAGTACTCTCAGGATCTTTCTTCCAGTATTCAGGAGTCCACTTTGATCTAATGGACATATGGTATTTTATGTGGAATGCCTAATCTGTTGGAAAATGTTGGTTGCCTGAAGTTTATGACTATTCCTGGGACATGAGACTCTCATAAGCCTTTCCGGATAATGGTAAGTTCTTCCGAATCCTTCCTGCTAACAGAGACATGGTAAAGGAAGGAAGCATAGGGACTAAAGAAGCCTTCAGCATAGTGAGACTGTGAATATTTTATTTAAATCCTTTCTGTTCCTCTCTCCTACCCTAGTAAAATACAGTTTATACATCATAGGGTCATAGTACGGTTATGTACATAAGAGGTGACATATACTCAGTAAATGATCCTTTGGAGAGAGTGATGGGGTACTTAAATGCATTAAGGGGGAAGATGATTGACCTCTATTTTCCTACTTACCTTCTGTGTGTTCTTGAACAAAATCATGTTTTAGCTATTCAGTGAGTGTCATCATAACCACTATTCTTAGATTGTTGTAGGAATTAAATTAGATAATACATGTAAGTCAATTAGTGCATTTTCTGACATACATTATATTTTAAAAGTTATTCATTGATATTATTTTGACTTTATTCTAGATAATGAAAACCATACATAACTTTGAAAAGGACAAGTTAGTTACTAAATTTCCTGGTATATGAGGCATATATCTTGTTTGTGTGGTTGCATATATTGCCTGCAGTAATCTCTAAAAATTGTCTCTTGCTAGTATAAATGTGGCATTCTTCTGAATGAAATAAATAAATAAATAAATATGTGATTATATAAGTGAATTTGTATATATTAGTATTTACATGCATTGCTATAAGAAGAATTGTTAAAATCGTTTATATTTATTTCTAATATTTTTACATAGAAATGTACTTTAGTGACTTATTTTCCAGAGAAAAACAAGTTTAATGAGGAATATGATCTTTAAGACATTTTTATGCATAAACACATGTAAATAAAATATCACAATTAAAACAGGGTAATAACATATCATGTTATATAGTGCAATTTTTCATGTAATTATATATTTACTGGTAGATACTTTTCCATATCAATAAATACTTTATGAATTTCAAAGTATTTATTAAGATATATAAAATTTCACTGAAGATGCTACCTTACTTATTCTTAAAATTCACAAATAGTAGAAAAGACATTCTGGCCAATTCATGGTGAACTCTCTCTATTTCGTTGCTTCATTTTGGGCAATTTTTCAATTAATGGGCAAAGGGCTATGAATCATCAGAGAAGCAGAGAGGACATGACTGAGTCCTTGATGCCACTGCTTTGTTTTATGCTGCCTTTTATTGGCCCTTTGGCCAGCGGTTTTAACTCTTACTACATCTTCCATGGAATTGGAATCATTCCTTGACAGATGGCAGTCAGATTGGACAATCTTCACCCATTTTATTTCAAACACAAGGCCTCTTAAAGTCTCACTATTTCACCTCCCTTAATCTGTTTAGAGTTGTAAGCAAAATACTATAGACGGGGTGGCTTAAACAACAGATATTTATTTATCACAGTTTTGGAGGCTGGGAAAACCAATTGCTTTAACTATTATATTGTAGGCACTTTTCCATTATAATTGAGTCCTAACCCATTGTTTTTAATAGCTAAAAAGGATTCCAAATAAGTGTTGAAATTTTGTATTTATTTACTGATAAAATGAGCATACCAGTTTTCCTGTATCCTATTAAGTGAATACATACTTTTTACAAGTGTTGACCAATTTGATGAGGAAAATTTATCACTTCATTAATTTACATTTTCCTAGATTTAGCACCTTTCCATATAGTTATTTGTCATTTGTAGATCTTTGTGCTTTGTGTAGCCATAGCCTTTGATTAATAGAATTTTCTTTGGGCTTGCTTGTCTTTTTCTTTTTGGTCGGTATATAATATTTACAATTATAAATAAAATCCACTAGATTCTGCAAAATTGCAAATCGTCTCTAAAGCTTTATAAAACTAATATTCTATGAAATTTTTATATTTTCATTTAACTTTTTTAATGACTAGGTTTGCATCTCTTTTTAGAAAGTGCTTTTATATAGCAATATTTAAATAAAATTCTTGTTGTTTCCATCTACAATAATTTTGGCATTGATAAGACTTTTAATACCTTAACTTAACATAAATATATTGTTAGGATGAAAGAAATCAGTGATTTTCCCAAGAACTATTATCTAAATTTCACCTAAAATTCCTCTACAGATTTGAAATGCTTATATTTTATGCACTAAGTTTTCTAAATATAGTGTTAGAGATAACTATTCTGTTTCCCTACCTTTTAAAATCTCATTTTGCCAGCTATATTAATTCAACTAAAGGCCTGATGTACATGCACGATTCTGCCTGCTGTCAGGGGCCTCCCTTCTTTCCGTGCTGCCTCCTGTGGGTCATCGCATGTCATAGTGATTGATCAAATTCCCAGTCTCCCAGTTGAACTCCCGAGGGGACAATTTCCATATTAGGATTTTACATATATAGGTGATATTTTATTTTAATCATCCTTTTTGTACTAATACATTAAGGGCACGCTAAAGGTACTTATGATTATTTAGTCTGCAAATATTAAATATTTAATATCTATGGGAAACCACAGTATAAGAATTTTCAGACATAACTTCTTACAATCAGTTGGAGATATAGATATGTTTCTTACTTAGCTGACCTATTTATTATAGCTCTCTCTATGTTGCAATGCACAGACAACAACCTCTAAAAGGCATTATGAATTAATGTCCAAGTCTGTCTTTCCAGGCTAAAGAGTCAAGAGCAATGGACAAACTTGGGGGCAGTGCTGATTGAAAAAAACACACACAAAAAAAACCACTCAGGTCAACAATGAAACAGGTGGTCAGATCTAAAGCTCCTTGAAGAGTGAAAAAAAAAAGTTTATGCTAGGGCTGGAGGGAGAAAAATACAAACAAACTCTTTTTTTTTTTCTTTTGTCAATCTGATAATTTGAAGAAAATTTTAAAAATTAGAATCAATGCTAGAGAAAAACAAATTCATGATCAGATATAAAATGGATGCAGTGGTTTTTCAAAATGCAACGAACTCAATTCTGTACAGACACACACACATACACAGATGGAAGAAAAGAGAGAAGAGTGATATACATAGCAAACATTTCCCTTTATTTTGTTGAGACTACGGATAACTGCCACAATAGAGGTGATACATTACTTTGAGTACTATATCAAATTATAAATATATAATAAAAGTAATAAAATAAAATAATGAAAACAGAATAGAAGAAATCAAGAATTCTAGGATGAAGGAAAACTACGAATTTATCACCAGCATATCTAATCTAAAGAACTAAAGAAGTTATCTAAACAGAAAGAAAAGGATTAAAGAAAAAAAAATGTGTGTGTGCTTGTATTTGTATATTTCCTCAAATGTGAGCTGACATTTATGAGTCTTCTTATATAATAAGGTTATTCACCTTTTGTCTGTCATATACATTATATACACTTTCATAATATACACTTTGATTAATAGAATTTTATTAATTCTATTCCTTTGTTAATTTTTAATCAATATATAGTGCATATTGACATTCAGAAGGTTAATGTATCCACATTTACTGAGATTTCCTCTCAAGGTTCTGTGGCTTCTGACAAGTGTAAAAGGGGTTTAGTAAAAAAGTTATTCCAGCCCTGGCCTGTTGTAGCTCAGTTGTTTGAGATAGTCCCATGCACCAATAGGTTGCTGGTTCAATTTCCTGTTATGACACATGCCTGAGATATGAGTTTGACTCCTAGTAAGGGGTGTGCAGGAGGCAACCAACTGGTGTTTCTCTTTCTCTCTTCCTCTCCCTTACTCTTTCTCTAAAACCAATAAAAGCGTTTTCTAACATTACTTAGTATTTTTCTCACTGTCTTTTAATTTGCAATAAATGATGCATTCATAAGTATGCTTTTCAGGATAAGGTTTGAGTTGGAATCCTCCAGCAAATGGTTAACTGTTTTCCCACAAGTCATTCATTGTACAAAATCTTTCTTTCAATTGAAAACAAGTATTTAAAATAAAGAAGAACTCATAAACGGGGATATTTATTATACATGCAGAGTACCTTGGTTTTCTACTTAATCTACCATTGCACATTATTCTACATTAATATATATATTTATCTTTATTCTTATTAATATTACATGGCTTGGAGGTACCATATTTATTTAGTCAGTATCTTCTTTAGGAGAATTTGAGATATTTTAAATGTATTGCTCTTAAAAATTATTTATGTACCTTAGGTGCAGAAAATAGAATTAAACACTGGTTCATATTAGGAAATATTTATTAATACTCTCTTGCTCATTTGTGTGTGTGTGTGTGTGTGTGTGTGTGTGTGTCCGTCCGTCCTTTTGGCCTCATAGCCTATTCCTTTCACACATACTTCTGTGTTTATTAGAAATATTTTCTTACATCTTCTTCTTGATATTTTTCTCTATTTCTTTATTAGTTCTAGTCTATAAATCTTGAAACTCTATGTTAGGGGCAGATGTCTTTCACTATTCTTTCAAGAGCAAGGTCAAATCTAAATGAGAAGAGCAAAACAAGTGGGGTCAAGGCTTCTCTTAAATACTCACACCACTCATGTCCTTTACAAAGCTACAGATTCCTTACAAAGTATTCTCCATCTTTCAGGTTGCTTGTCCATGTTTGACAGCTCATTTTGCCTAAAGTACAAACATGACCCCTTCTAACCTGCTCCTGTCCCTCACCTAAGGCTTCACCACTCTATTGTCTGTGTCCATGGGTCATGCACATATGCATACAAGTTCTTTGGTTGAACTCATACTCTGCTTTCCAAGATCTTATTTGAAGAAAGTATCCCACTATTTTAAAAACAGAAATGCTAAAAGGAAAGATGCTACGAGAAAAAAATGTTTTATGATAAAGACAATGTCAGATAATACATTTCTACACATCTGGGAGGTATAGAGATCACAGGACAAATTTTTGGAATTAAACTATACACCTCAGAGAGAACACAACTGACGTAGAGATAACTGGCATGTTTACTAGGCAATCTGGTGGTTTGCTCTGGCTAAGCAGTCCACAGTGAATGTGTCACTGCTCTGGTGCTCTTGTGCTCCTGTAAATTTCCCGGCACAGCAATTTGAATGCAAGTTGAGTAATTGTAGCATTGGGGTCTTGCTTAATTGTCTAGATTGCCATGGTCCACAACATTATTCCATGAATGCACCAGCTTTTTATTTCTTTAATTTCTGGCATTGAATTAGTGAATTCTTCTTGGGAAGCATTTTATTTTATTAAATAGAGTATAGCAAGATAATATAAATGATTATGAACAAAAGGAAAGGCATCCCTCTTAATTTTTGAACCAGAAAAGATCAAGAACTTTAAGTGACACTTTGATTTTTGTAAAGAAATTGTTTTTGTATTTTCCATTAAGCCTTCTAATTAATTTAGTAAAAGGTTCTTTTAAACCCCAGAGATGGAACTTTTGGCAGTCTAAAAATGATTTATTTCTGCCCAAGGGAAATATAATTCAATTAGTTTATGTAATTCTTTCTAATCGCTCATTCTGTGTACTAGCCATAGGGATAACAGAGAACCGTGTTGTTCAGGCCATTCTCTGTGGAATTCTGCATTTTCATTCCATAGAAATAACTGCAGTACCTGCACATAGTCTACTAAGTGCCCTTGGGAATACTTAAGGAGTTCACATTTTTAGTAATGGTAGAACAAATGTCAGAATGGCGTTAATTTATTTTTAAAATGTATTTAACTCTATCACTTGGGTGAGCATAAAAGATCACCATCTTGGTTTCAAGCATGACTTACGTTTTATACTTAAGGGCACAATCCATTGAAAATGATAGTAATTTAAACTGGTGATTTTGACAAATATTTAATTTTCCATTTGATGCATGATATGAAGACAAAAATAAGTAAGTGAGACTGTATCAAAATAAGAAGCTTCTGCACAGCAAAGGAAATCATCAACAAAATGTAAAGGCTCTGAACTAAGAGAAAACATTTGCATACCATCTATCTGATAAAGGGTTAATATTGAAAACATATAAGAAACTCATGAAACGTGATGGCAAATAAATAAATAAATAAATAAATAAATAAATAAATAAATAAAACGCACACAGATAATCCAATTTAAAAATGGGCAAAGGACTTGAATAAGTTATTCAAAGAAGACATACAAATGGAAACAAGTACATTAAAAGGTGCTCAATATGATTAATCATCAGGGAAAGGCAGATCAAACCCAAACCACAATGAAATAAGTTCACAGTTAGGATGTCTATTATAAAAAAATACAAGAGATAACAAATGCTAGCAAGGACATGGTGGCAAGGGAACCCCTAAATGCTATTGGTAGGAAAGTAAACTGGTACAGCGACTATTAAAACAGTATAGATGTTCCTCACTGCTGGAAATTAAAAAAAAAATGTAATTATCATGTGATCACAACTGCATTTCTAGGTATATTTCCAAATAAAATGAAACCATTATCTCAAATATCTGTAGTCCCATGTTTACTGTAGCACTATTCACAAAAACCAAGGTATGGAAATAACTCAAGTCTCTATTGACAGATGATTGCATAAGGAAAATGTAGTATCTATATATATAATAAAATATTGTCTTTTTAAAAGAAAGCAATCCTGACATTTATGACAATATTTATAAACCTGGAGAGCATTATGCTAAGTAAAATAAGCCAGACTGAAAGTCAAGTACATACTGTCTGGTCTCACTAGTTTTTGGAATATTAAAGAAAAATAAAAGTTAAACTCATAAAATAGAAATAGAATTAAGATTTCCAGGCACTGTGGGTGGGAAAATAAGAAAAGGCTGATAAATGGCACCAACTTTCATTTATAAAATGATTATATTAATAACATAAAATGGTACATGATTATATAAAATTTATGTAATTTCCCTCAAAATTAAACAATAAAACATTTGATAGAATATTTCTGCTGATCAAGTTAAATACCTCTTATTGCTAGAAACATATTTTAGTGACTAGAGAAAAGGAATAGCAGATACACCTGCATATGCTTTTTAATGTTCAATCTCAATTAAATTTTAATGACATTATTAGTCTGACCACTGATAATCAAATATTACTCTCTATTTCTTCATTTACAACTGCACATAAACCCCTTGTATGAATCAGAAGTCAGACCATGGCTTTACTTGCATTTGCCCAAGTTGCTATGTGGGTGCAAATTGTGAGATAAGTATTGATAGTTCTGCTGAGCGTGAACTGAATATGGACCTCTGTGTTAATGGACATACATTTTACTGCAGGTCAGTGTTTGTTTATTCACAATTAACTAAATACATATTTAGCAAAACTTAAAAATAATCCCTCTGGTAATACACTGGAAATATACTAAGTCTAAAAATAAATTTTTGTCTTAATGTAATCACAATTTGAAATTAAAAATTCTAAAAAAAACATTGCTTATATATTTTTCAAATATCATATATTCATAATGTATGACTTTTGAATTTAATCATCGCTAATTTTATAACTAGTAGTCCTGTGCATGAATCCATGCACCAGTAGCTCTCTGGAGGGCTTGGCACCTTCATGTCCACTGCTCAGAGGCTCTCTGCAGCCCAGAGGCCCATCCACAGCTGGCCACAGAATGCATGCCTGGGCAACCACCAAATGGTTCAGACCCGGGTCTGGCCAGAGGCGCCTCCATGGTTGGGAAATGCAAATGACTTCCCTCCCTGTTCCCAAGAACTCCGATTAAGGGCTTCCTTCCTCTTTCTGAGCCAGCTTTCACCCATCTGCCTCTGCCACCAGCCCCTCCTGTCACACTATCCTCCACCCCCTCCAACCTCTGACCGCCCAGACCTGACCTTGCCTAGGAATTGGGGACCACTTGACCCTGCTCAGTTCAATGGTTCCTTCTCTTCTTATGCAAGCATTCTGCACCCTGGCCTGGCCAGAGACCCATCAGAGGCTGGGCACGGAGTATTTGCTTCATCACTGCAATGATGAAGCAAGCATTCTGCCAGGCCACTCATGCTGCCTGCTCTCAAAGGCCCCCTTCCGCGCCCCCCCCCCACCCCTGGACTGGGGGAATCTGGTGGGGCTGAGAGGACTGGGCACTGCCATCTTGTGGCTATCGGCACCATCATCTTTGGGATGGAGTGATGGTTAATTTGCATATTACCCTTTTATTATGTAGGATTATTTCATATCTCCTTTCCTTTCCAAAATTGGATTTTGAATCATTTAGCACATGCAGACTATTTATTATTATGATACAGTTATTATTCTTTGCTATATAGTGCCTAATGTTCCATTTCATTTGTAAAATGTGTGTGTGTGTGTGTGTGTGTGTGTGATTCATTCTTGTATTTTGTATTTTTAAACATGAATTTTCTTATTTTACTCTGGTGGTCTGATAAAGTAAACATGTTTCTAATTTCAATAGTAATTACATAAAATAAAATTATAAAAATGATCACTTGACCACAGCAAGGGTCCTCCAGTTAATCAGTGCCTGGATTAAGTCATCAGTAGTAAATTAAACAATTATTTGCTGTAGATACGATGTTATAAATCAATATTTTATTCATGAAAAGCCACTAAGTTCAAGAAATTAAAACAAAATAGAGATAAGTGAACCTAAAACTAGACAGTATTTGTTCAATCAAGTACCAAAAAGCTGCTCTGTAGAATGTTATTTTAGAGGTTGTTATCCACAGGGAAGTTACAGTGACCTTTCTTAAAGCATGAAGTCAATGGAACTCAAAGATGCCTGCTTCTTTTCCTGGAATCTCTCCCAGGGACAAGCACAGGCATTCATTACTGCTACAGGGTTATTCAAGCGTCATTTAAATAAGAGTCATCTGTCTTCAAAATTTTCACTGCTAATTCAGTGTTCCCAAAAGACCCTGAGAGTCTCTGAATGGTGAATGCCTTGGGAGGGAGGTTCAGTATCTAGGTGATTTTCAGAGTGACTGTGAAGAGCCATCAGAATCAGCGTCAATTTAACATAGTCCACAGACAGTTTATTTACAAAAAGAAAACAACCTCATTTAATAGCAGGAAAGATGTGCAGGTAAAATCATCAGATTTTTGTGGAGATCAAGGATTAATCTGTGATATATTTACTTAAACCATAATAAAATAATTGTTTTCTTTGTTGACAAAATTATATCAAAACTATTGTTTTGATCAATATTTTGCATTAACATTTTTAAAGTTTAAATTCTTTACTGTTTAAAGTATTACATACGTATCCTTTTCCTCTCATTGACCACTCCCCAGCCACCCCTATGCCCCAGCACATTAGCTCACCTCCTTCCCCCATCTGTGTCCACTGGTTATGCTCATATGCATGCGTACAAATCCCTCTCCCCGCACCCCACCTTCCCTCCTAGAGTGGGCGGTCTGCTCAATGCTTCTATGACTCTGGTTCTATTTGTGTTCATCAGTTGTTCCTTATATTCCACAAAGGAGTGAGATCATGTGATATTTATCTTTCTCTGACTCACATAATGCCCTCCAGTTCCATCCATGCTGGTGCAAATGGTGAAAGTTCCTTCTTTTTATATAGTGGTGTAGTATTCCATTGTGTAGATGTACCACAGTTTTCTAACCCACTCATCAGCTGATGGACACTTAGGCTGTTTCCAAATCTTTACTATTGTAAATTGTGCAGCTGTGAACACAGGGGTGCATATATCCTTTCTGATTGGTGTTTCTGTTTTCTTGGGTTACATTCCAAGAAGTTAGATTACTGGGTCAAATGAAGTTCCATTTTTAATCTTTTGAGGAAATGCCAAATTGTTTTCTACCGTGGCTGCACCAGTCTATATTGTCACCAATAGCGCAAGAGGGTTTCTTTTTCTCTGCGTCCTCACCAGCACTTGTCCTTTGTTGATTTGTTGATGATAGCCTTTCTGACAGGTGTGAGATGGTACCTCATTGTTTCAATTTGCATCTCTCAGATGATTAGTAACTTTGAGCATGTTTTCATATGTCTCATGGCCTTCTGTATGTCCTCTTTCAAAAAGCGTCTATTTAGATCCTTTTTTATTGCATTGTTTATCTTCATTTTGTTACAGTGTATGAGTTCCCTATAAATTTTGGAGATTTAAACCCTTATTGGAAATAACATTGGCAAATATGTTCTCCCATTCAAATGGGCTTTATTATTGTTTTGTTGATGGTTTCTTTTCCTATGCAGAAGATTTATTTTTTGATGTAGTCCCATTTGTTTATTTATCCTTTAGTTTCCATTGTCCTAGGAGCTGTATCAGTAAAGATAGCACTATGATATCTGTCTGATACAATATTTTGCTGACTATGGCCTCTTCTATGATTTTAATGGTTTCCCGCCTTACATTTAAGTCCTTTATCTACATTGAGTTTATTTTTCTGTATGGTGTAAGTTGGTGGTCTAGTTTCATCTTTTTTGCATGTATCTGTCCAATTTTCCCAACACCCTTTATTGAAGAGACTATCTTGACTCCATTGTATACTGTTGCCTCTTTTGTCAAATATTATTGGAGCATAATGGCTTGGTCAATCTCTGGGTTCACTGTTTTGTTCCATTGTTCTGTATGTTTGTTCTTGGTGCCAGCACCAGATAATTTTGAGAACAGTTGCTTTGATATCACAGTATACATTGATATCTGGTACTGTGATCATTCCAACTTTGTTCTTTCTCTTGATTGCTGCAGGTATTCGGGGTCTTTTTTTATTCCGGATGAATTTTTGAAGAGTTTTTCCTAGGTCTTTGATGTATGCAATTGGTATATTAATGGGGATTGCATTGAATCTATACATTGCTTTGGGTAGTATGAACATTTTAATGATGTTGATTCTTCCAATCCATGAATGGTATATTTTTTCATTTGTCTTCCTTTATTACTTTTTTTTCCCCAGCATCCTTTAATTTCCTGAGTATAGGTCCTTTACCTTTTTGGTTAAATTTATTCCTAGGTATCTTAATTTTTTGTTGTTGTAATTCTAAATGGGATTTTATTTATTTATTTATTTATTTATTTATTTATATTTATTTTATTATAATTCCTCTTTCTGTGAGTTCATTATTGCTGTATAAAAAACCCACAGATATCTGGGTGTTAATTTTGTATCCTGCTACATTACCAAATTTATTTATTAGTTCTAATAATTTTTAATGGAGTCTTTAGGATTTTTTATGTGCAATATTATGTCATCTGTGAATAATGACAATTTGACTTCTTTTCCAATTTGGATGTCTTTTATTTCTTCTTGTTGTCTGATTGCTATGGCTAGCACTTCCAGTACTATGTTGAACAAGAGTGGTGTTTTGTTTTGTTCCTGTTCTTAGGGGAAATGGTTTTAGTTTTTACCCATTGAATATGGCTGTAGTTTGCCATATAAGGCTTTCCCTCTATTGTGTTGAGGCATGATCCCTCTATTCCCACTTTGCTGAGAGTTTTTATCATGAAAAGGGTATTGGATTTTGTCAAATGCCTTTTCTGCATCAATTAATATGATTATGTCACTTTTGTCTCTCAGTTTGTTTATGTGATTTATCACATTTATTGATTTGGGAATATTGTACCAGCCTTATATTCCTGGAATAATTCCACTTGGTAATGGTGTATGATCTTTCTAATATAATGCTGTATCCAATTTGCTAAAATTTTGTTGAGGATTTTAGCATCAGTGTTCGAGGGTATTGGCCTGTAATTCTTTTAATTTGTGGTGTCTTTATCTGGTTTTGGGGTTAAGGTAATGCTGGATTAAAAGAAAGAGCTTAGAAGTATTCATTCCTCTTGAATTTTTTTTTGAATAGTCTGATAAGAATAGTTTTCACTCTTCTTTGATTGTTTGGTAAAACTCTCCTTTGAAGCCTTGTGGCCCAGGCTTTTGTTTGCTGGAAGCTTTTTGATGACTGCTTCAATTTCCTCCACAGTTATGAGCCTGTTGAGATTTTTTTTATTCTTCTTGATAGAGTTTTGTAAGATTTTTTATTTCTAGGAATATGTCCCTTTACTCTTGATGGGTTAGTTTGTTGGAGTAGAGTTGTTCATAGTATTTTTTTTTAACAATCTTTTTTTATTTCTGTAGGATCTGTTATTATTTTACCTTTTTCATTTCTGATTTTGTTTATTTGGGTTCTCTCTCTTTGCTTCTTGGTGAGCCTGGCTAGAGATTCATCAATCTTGTTTATTCTTTCAAGGAACCAGATCATATGCTTTACCATTTCATAGGTTGTCTTTTTGTTTTGTTGGTGGTTTCCTTGGCTATACAAAATCTTTTATGCTTGATGTAATCCAATTTGTTT